AAAAAATGTATTAAAAAAAAAGTTCTTACATATCAGTACGAAAAAAAATGTAAAGGCTTACCACTCAAAGTATGGGCCACACACCAGTACCACTGGTGTCACCTGGGAGCTGGTTAGAAATGAAACATCGCAAGTCCCACCCCAGACCTCCTGCCTCAGAAGCTGTATTTCAGTTAGATCCCCAGATGACTGTGGTTTGTATGCATATTAAAATTGAGATGCCCTGGTGTATAGGACATGAGCAGACAAGTCACAAAAGAAGAAATATAAATGGCCAATTAAAAAAACATATCCAAATGCTCAACCTCACCAATAATGAAATTATAATGAAAACATGTGACTTTTTCACCTATCAGCTAGGCAACAATAAAAAGACTGGAAATGCTCAGTGTGGTGAGGGTATGGGTAAGTGGGCATTCTCATACATGAATGGTAGACAGGCATCTTCTGGGAACATTATCAAAAGTTTAAATAAGCCCAGCCTTTGACCTAGAAGTTCCCCTTTAACGGACTTTATCCTAAGAAAATAATTGGGTACGTACAGTAGAACAAAATTTGTGTTTGCGTGATTGTTTGCTACAGCACTGTTTTAATGGCAAAAGTTTGAAAACTGTCAAAATCTTCACTAATACGAAACTTGATAATGAAATAAATGGCTCTGAACCATGTAAATATTACCTATTTTTTAAAAAGTAATGAAAAATAAATACATTATTATGCAGCCATGAAAAGGATAATAGAGAGCCCTGTATATTGATATGGAAAGTGGTTCATATATTGTTAAATGAAAAACAGGTCATCAGACAGTATATGTAAAATGATCCTACACACACACCACACACACGTATATGCAATTTTATAGATTAACATAGTTAAATATATACCTTTATCTTCCTAACTCTTAACACTGCACTAACATGACATTACAGGGATTTTTATAAAGGCATAAGGGCTGGCCGAGTGGCTCAGTTGGTTAAGAGCTCGCTCAAGAGTTTGAGCTCTGAACAATAGCAGTTCGATTCCCGTCCCAAGCTGAGCAGCTGCTGAGCTGCCAACAGGTGGCAGGATGGCTCAGCTTAAAAAAAAAAAAGAGTAAGAAAGGCATAAACTCACAAGAACAGAGAGAAAAGGAGAGGAGACAATAGTAGACTAGAGATGTTAAAATAATTTTGGAAGCTAAAAAAAAGCATAACAGGCAGGAAAAGTTGACCCATAAACTGGTAGGGAAGAACCTAAAGTAAAAAGCATATGTTGAGGGGTGGCCGGGTGGCTCAGCTGGTTAGAGCGCAGTGCTCATAACACCAAGGTTGC